TACGCAACTAATTACAAACCGTTATTGGAAACCATCCCCCAAGAAATAAAAAATCTACGCACAACCACACTATCAACTTTAGGTAGAGTAGCAACCATGAAAATGTGTATATTACCTAAAATACTATATATTTTTCGGACGCTTCCTATACCAGTCCCTCACACCTTTTTCTCTAAAGTTCAAGCTACGCTAAATAAATTTCTATGGAATTCTAAAAGACCCAGATGTTCCACGAACTTATTATTACGCCCACCCTCCAGAGGTGGGACAGGTCTCCCCCACCTAAAATCATATTACCAAGCAGTCCTTTTAGACCAACTCTTCTTTTAGTGGCACCCAACCGACGAGAAGATCTGGACCAAACTAGAAAACTCCTTATCCTCACCACACTCGATGACAGACATACTGTATATACCTAGGACAGCCCTACCTAAAACTCTACAAACACACCCGTGTATCCAGGCTTCTTTAAATGCTTGGTTTGACTTTTCAGCCCACAATCAAGCAAACAAGAGCAATGTAAAAATTCCCACCCCCCTTTCATCCCTACACTTCCTCACTCCTCACTTAAATATATCAACATGGAGCAGCCTCGGTATAACCCATATCCAAGACCTCTACACAAAACACACACTAGACACATTCTCCGTCCTCCAAAAGAAATTTCATCTTCCCGACAAAGAACAATATACCTATATACGAATAACCCACTCTCTCTTCACAAAACACAAATACCACTTGAAATAGAAATTCCTGCAACTGCACGACAATTCTTCCAAAAGACACAATACCCGAAGAAAGGAATTTCGACTTTCTACTCACTCATAACCGAAATACAGTTCACTACTTACAACTCTTCCTTACTCAATTGGGAAAAGAATCTCTCCCAACCAATCACTCTAAAAACTTGGGAAAAAACATTCACTATCACCTTTAAAGCTTCTAAATGTAGCTCCCATTGGGAGACATACCTAAAAATCCTACACCAATGGTATCTGACACCAATTAAATTATCCCAATTTTATCCCCAACATTCACAACTCTGCTGGAGAAACTGTGGAGAACAGGGATCTCTCCTTCACATACTTTGGGATTGTAAATCCCTTAAATCCTATTGGAACAAGGTTTTCCAGATCATCTCATCACTCACAGGAACTTCAATTACTCCCAATCCTGCTCTAGCTCTTCTCCACGTCGGAATAGACATATTCCCTGTAAATGTACAGTTGCAAGAAAAAGTATGTGAACCCCTTGGGATTACGTGGAGTTTTGCATGAATTGGGCATAAAATGTGCTGTGAACGTCATCTAAGTCACAACAATAGAAGAACACAGTCTGCTGAACATAATACTACACAAACATTAGATGTTGCCATGGTTTAATTGCACATAACATGTAAACATTCACAGTGCAGGGAGGAAAAAGTATGTGAGGCCCTAGCTTAATGACTTCTCCCAGAGCTAATTGGAGCCAGGAGTGAGCCAACTTGACTCCAATCAGTGTGATGATATTGGATGTGTTGCTGACAGCTGTCCTGCCCTTAAAAAACACACACCTGTTTTGGGTTTACTGGTTTCAAGAAGCACTGTCTGATGTGAACCATGCCTCGCAGAAAAGAGCTCTCAGAAGACCTACGATCAAGAATTGTTGACTTGCATGAAGCTGGAAAGGGTTACAAAAGTATCTCCAAAAGCCTTGATGTTCATGTGTCCACGGTAAGACAGACTGTCTACAAATGGAGAAAGTTTAGCACTGTTGCTACTCTCCCTAGGCGTGATCGTCCTGTAAAAATGACTGCAAGAGCACAGCGCAGAATGCTGCACGAGGTAAAGAAGAATCCCAGAGTGTCAGCTAAAGACCTACAGAAATCTCTGGCACATGCTAACATTTTTGTTGACACATCTACAATAAGGAAAACATTAAACAAGAATGGAGTACATGGGAGGACACCACGGAGGAAGCCATTGCTGTCCAAAAAGAATATTGCAGCACGTTTGAAGTTTGCAAAAGAGCACCTGGATGTTCCGCAGCACTACTGGCAAAATATACTGTGGACAGATGAAACCAAGATTAAGTTGTTTGGGAAGAACACACAACACTATGTGTGGAGAAAAAAAGGCACAGCACACCAACATCAAAACCTCATCCCCACTGTAAAACATGGCGGAGGGAGCATCATGGTTTGGGGCTGCTTTGCTGCCTCAGGGCCTGGACAGATTGTTGTCATTGATGGGAAAATGAATTCCAGAGTTTATCAAGACATTTTGCAGGAAAACGTACGACCATCTGTCCGCCAACTGAAGCTCTGCAGAGGATGGGTGATGCAACAGGACAATGACCCAAAGCGTACAAGTAATTAAACAAAACAATGGCTGCAACAGCACAGAATACGCCTTCTGGAGTGGCCCAGTCAGAGTCCTGACCTCAACCCAATTGAAATGCTGTCGCATGACCTTAAGAGAACGATTCACACCAGACATCCCAAGAATATTGCTACACTGAAACGGTTTTGTGAAGAGGAGTGGTCCAAAATTACTCCAGATCGTTGTGCAGGTCTGTTCTGCAACTACAGGAAACGTTTGGTTGAGGTTATTGCTGCCAAAGGAGGGTCAACCAGTTATTAAGTCCAAAGGTTCACATACTTTTTCCTCCCTGCACTGTGAATGTTTACATGTTATGTGCAATTAAACCATGGCAACATCTAATGTTTGTGTAGTATTTTGTTCAGCAGACTGTGTTCTTCTATTGTTGTGACTTAGATGACGTTCAGAGCACATTTTATGCCCAATTCATGCAAAACTCCACGTAATCCCAAGGGGTTCACATACTTTTTCTTGCAACTGTACGCACTATTATCATCCACATTCTAGCAGCCGCAAAAATTAACATCACCAAACTATGGAGATCCACCTCAACCCCTTTATTATCCCGCCTCATTTCCGATCTCAACCTCCAATGCGAGATGGAAAGAAGAACCGCACTCTATAATTCCTCCTACCATAAATTTAAAACCCATTGGTCACGATGGTTGAATAACCCCAGTTGCTCAATAAAATGACTACTATTCGAAAGGAATACAATACTATCTGCCCACACTGAACTGGTGCTTACCCTCCCTCCCCCCCCACTTCCTTCCCTGTCCCTCCACTATCCTCATGTTCTCCCCACTCTTATGCCCCACTTGTCTTCTAGAATGGTTCACAACCTACGGAGCATACCTACCTCTCATGTAACTGAACCACAGAAATACAAGTTCCCCAGCCACTTGGTGGGGAACCTTCACTTTCCTTTGTCTTTATTTCTCATATAATGTTCTTCTCGATGTGAACCAAAATGTTCGACTATCTAATATTACTTATGTATGTTTAAACTTTAATAAAAATTATTTGAATATAAATTATAATTTATGATTTCGTGTTTCAAGTTTTATCATACCTGGAATGTTTACTAGACTCTTGTTCTGACAGATTTCAGTGAGTTATTCCTAAAAATTACAGGCCTACAATAAAAAAAATATGTATTTCCATGCAAAAAAATGTACCGCTTTGAGCACAGAAATATGGACATAATCAGACCACTAGGGAGGTTAACCCTTTGATCGCCCAATATGTTAACCCCTTCCTGACCAGTGTCATTAGTACAGTGTCAGTGCTTTTTATTAGCACTGATCACTGTATTGGTGTCATTGGGGAAATCAGTCAAGTCAGTTCCCCCCAGTCTCAGAATGCCCGCCGCAGTCCTGCTGATCGCCGCCATTACTAGTAAAAAAAAAATTCCAATATATATACCCCCATTTGTAAACGCTATAACTTTCACGTAAACCAATGAATTTACATGTATTGGGATATTTTTTTTACCAAAGACGTAGCAGAATACATTTTGGCCTAAATTTATGACGAAATTTGATTTTTTACTTTTTTTACTGGACATGTTTAATAGCAAAAAGTCATAAATATAGTTTTTTTTTTCAAAATTGTTGGTATTTTTTTTTTGTTTATAGCGCAAATAAATTAAAAATGCACTGGCGATCAAATACCATAGAAAGAAAGCTCTATTAGTGGGGAAAAAAGGACGTAATTTTAATTTGGGTACAGCGTTGCATGACCGCACAATTGTCAGTTAAAGTAACACAGCACCGTATCTCAAAAAATGGCCTGGTCAGGAAAGGAAAATCCTCTGGCCAGGCAAGTGGTCAAATTATTTTGAGACTGATATATAAAAATGATTAACAGGAACATTGCCTATAGCAACCTTTTAGAAGTTGTATTTTATACCTGAGCTGCAGAAAAGCCAGGCAAAACCTGATTAGTTGTTATGAATAACAATAAGGTTTTCCTATTGCTTAACTTTCATAAGTCAACCCCTATGTACTATATAATAATATATTAGTAATAGTTACTTCTAATTAATCATTTATCACTGTAAATGCAATTTTTCATAAGATGGGTGCAGACAACACAAACAGAATGCATTATTTTATACCTATAGAAACTTTTTGTTTCTTAATTATTCTTTTTTAATTATTTTCAGTTATGTTTTAATGACTTCTGCCACTTCTAGTCCAGTGTCTGCATTCATCATCTTGTCTCTAGTTACTTGTTGCTCTGACTTCATTCCCTTGACTTACACAGGCTTGGTGACCGTGACCCTATTCTCAGTACATGAAATCTCTTGAACTACATAATGAGATCAGGGAGAAGTGGGATAGGCCTCAGAACAGCAGATTACAGCATTCAGAAGAGGTTTCCTTTTAACAATTTAGCAGTGCCTTACTGAGGTTCTGAAAAGAGCTTTCAGTCTTTGTTTCCATTTTAAATGACTTCACCTCTATTTATCTAATCTTTTCGGCCTTTGTCAGTTTATTGTCCAGGCTGTCTTAATGAGTGTCAGAAGTCATCGAAGTTCATCCTACAAAAAGGTGTTTGCTCTATTTTAGCCACGTTTTTCATGCAAATAGAACTGATGAAAAAAAATAACATATTTCCTTTCTTCATTTGCAGGCTGTAAGGAGACAAAAGGTTCTTGAACAAAGTATTCAGTCTGCCCAGGAGACTGACAAAGCTATTCGCCTAATTCAGGAATCCCTTGGCACCATAGACAGACAATTGACGGCCTATATTTCTGACAGAATTGATGCAGGCCACGTTCCCCAAGAAGCACAGGTAGGGTCAGGTTAACCACTTGCAATTGATTTCTAATTCTGCCTAAAAATGTCAAAGCTCAAAGCTAGCATTTGTCATTGAAGCTAAGGAAAACTTATGTCATAAATGTCTAAGTACATATAACTTAGTGCTTTTCGTGCACTTAAACATTAAATCACCGCATTCTGCATTGTACAAGTGGCGACAGCTATGTAAAAAATCGCCTGAAAATTTCAATATTCCCTTTTCTGAAAATGCATAGCTACAAAGTGTCTGTTCATTTTCAGTCAGACTTGCAAAACAATTTGCTTTGCTACGGTGACTATTGTTCACATGCTGTAAAGCTGATTACTGTGAATGGCCTTGTGAATCATCCCTTGGTTACCTAATCAGATTTGACGATGTGTCACTTGTGTGTGTGTGAGATGACCTTGCATCCTTTGTGAAATTGCAGAGTATGATATGTACAGAAACATGCAAAGTTTTGCTTGAGTGGAACTGTTTGGCTGACTTCAAATCAGTGTTAAAGTGGAACTCCAACCAAACCTCTTTTTTTTTTTGCTTTGGGGACAGGAAATGAGGGAAACCCTCTCAATTAAAAAGAAAAAGAAAAGCATTGTTTGACAGGTGTTTCACTATAAAACCACAAGACCTACTCTTATGCAAAACAAATTATACAACATATGATTACACTTGGATTTACAGAGATTTCAAAAGCATTAATGTATATTAGTGCCTGAATTAGAGCCTAAGTTCTGCTGTGCCGTTAGTGAATAGATAGTGGATTTTTCATTTGTAGAGCAGTGGTAAGTATTGCTGATTTGTAGCAATGGAGTCTTGACTAATCTTGCTTTCATGCTTCAGTATGTGCTCGTGTGTGTGTGTGCAGGGCCTGCTTTTAGAAAGCACAGCCTACTGAGCCTATCTGATGGGCCAGATGCCCCCCCCCCCCGGAAATATCAAATTATATTTTTGCTAAAATTACACTAAAATAATTAATGGACACAAACACAACAAAATTCCTGCTAAAACTCTTTGTGTGAATGAGGTATTGGGGCTCATTCACATGGGTCTTGTGGCCTGTACAGTGTGAATCAGGGGTTTGTTTATGTGGCTGAAGCATCCTGGAGCTGTGCGCAGGCAGCCTAGCTTACTCAATGGGGAACCAGCAGCTATATGAATACAGCCACAGTCCTAATTTGACAGGAGTGAGAGTACAGATGTACGACCCTGAACAAACACAGTGTGCATTCAAGGTTACTCACCCACATCTGCACACCGCCAAATTAGAACCTGTGGCTATGTTCATACAGCCACTGCATCCCCTTAGCGTAGCAGGCAGGTTGGAGGGATGTGAGAACCCCATTGCTGAGTTGCACTTCTACTGCCCACCAATGACTATCCCCTTTAGCAACAGAGGGAGTAGCTATGGGTGTACACATGCCATGGCTGCAATGCTATTCTTTGCAGCCATGGCAGAAATTATAGAGAGCAAAGCACACGTGAATGAATCCTTAATTTTTTTTTGGTTATTTTTTAGAATAATAATTTTTATTTATTTATTCACATATTTTAACTGTTATGATGGGGGGGGGGGGCTGGTGAAATATCGGGGTCTAAACAGACCCCTGATTTCTCACATTTGAGACTGAAAAGGGACTGAGAATTCATCACATGAATGAATTAGAAGCACTCTCAGATGTCCTGTTCATTCAAAAATGGAAGCATAGTAAACAATTTACTATGCTTCAGTGATGAATGGACATAGGCGTTATCAGCACTGATTGCTTACTGTGTTCATTCAGGAAAGGAAAGGGACAGTAAATCTGAAATATTTACCGGCCCCTTTCCTGCTCTCCATTGTGAAACATCCCCCTGTTTGCGCATAGCAGCTGCTGGTGGGAGAGGAGGGAAGCTTGTAGCGCTGCAGGAGAAAAGAGCACACAGGGATCTCGGAGAGCAGGGGGATGGGAGTGCAGATACTAAAACCGATTCCACCACAGTAGAAGCTGGCAGCACTGCAGGGGAAGCACAAGGGAATTGATGTTTAAAAAATGTTTAAATGTTTTCTTTTTTTTTACAATTTAGTTTTTCACGTACTGTGACCTGAACAGTGCAGTGTTACTATAGTGACACTATACTACACTGGGGAGGTTATCAGGAGTTTTCCCACTATGATTATTTATAACAGTGATGATCACTATTATAAGCAATAATTTTTTATGAATAGCATATTTTTTTATGAAAATATGTACAATTGTGATCGTTGTGATTGGTCAAAGCTATCACATTGCGGATGTGTGCTGTGATTGTCGCTGTCTGTACCATGTGATCACTGCGACCAATCACAGAGATCACAATAGTAGACAATGAATGGCTATGTATGAAAGACTTTCATTGTATATATTTGATATATGATCACCGTGATTGGTCACAGTGATCATGTGGTACCAGGGCTACCCTAATACAAGAAGCTGTCATTCACTGTGTCCAGTGAACACTGTGTCCAGAGCTTAATGGTCCCTGGAGGGGAGGCGTATGACTGGGAGGATGTCATATGACATCCACCCAGAGTAACAATGCTTCTGCTCAGTTGTCATTTGACTATATGCCAGGTGTGAGGTTGTTAAAGATGTTTTTTTCTTGGGTGGTGTTAGAGGGAACAAAAAGTGGTCCCAGTATATGACTCTATATTCTGCATCCTTTTTTGAACCTAGTCAATACAGAGGAACAGGATAAAAATAGAAGTGGAAAGTGTTTTGTTTAGACAGGCATTGTCACGTAAAGCCTTTAATTCCAACTGGGAGCATTTTTTTCAAGGCATTCAATGACATGAAAAAAATGCTTTAAAGTTGGGAGCTCAAATGATTGTAGACAAAAGGTTCTAAGAGTTTCGAGGTAAACGGGAGCAAGGAGATGGGTCTTAAGTTGTGGTTGGTGGGGTCCAGTGCAAGTTTTAGAGGGGAGGTGAAAATGCCATTAGAGAGGGAGAGATTAAATATGTGAGTGAGGGGGCATAGGAATGAATAAGAGGGTGACTGTGGTAGTTGCTGAGGGTGGTTTTGTATAGTGACCAGTGTATGAGTTACTGGGTGGAGGTGGTGGTGAAGAAAGTAAAGAGTTAAAAGTAGAGAAGAGACGATGAGGACTGGATGACATGGTATTATAAGAGTGATAAAGTAGGCTTTTTGGTAGCATAGAGGGAGGAATTGTATTTTGGGAAGCCAGTTTTATATTGGGTGAATGCTTGCTGGGATTTGGTTTTGCACCACAATTGCTCCGGCGCATGGCTATGTCTCTTAAGATTTCTGGTGTTGTCAGTCTGCCAAGGTTGTAATGGTCGAGGCCTGATACTTCATGTAGTTAGAGAAGCAAGTGAGTCCAGTGTGGAGGAAAGTGAACTGTTTGTAGACAGAAGTGGCCAGCTCAGTTCAGGGCAGGAGAGAGATTCTGTCACAGAGGTGGTCAGTTGCAGAGTAGAAAAGAGAAGGATTAAAGTGGCAAAATTTCTGTGGGTAATTGCTGATTGGAGGACAGGTGATTGAAGACAAGAACACTATGAAAGTGATGACGTTGTGATCAGAGAGAGGAAAATGGGTGTTCATGAGGTTGTACAGAATGCAAAAATAGGAGAAAACAAGGTCAAGGGTATTCCTATCAGAGTGAGTGGAGTACTGTATCCATTTTGTTAGGGCAAAAGATGAGGTTAGGTTGAAAAGTTAGGCTGTAGCTGGGCTGATAAAATTAATGGGGATGTTAAAATCAGCAAGAATGATAGTGAATATTTCATAGGAGAGAAAGTAGGGTAGCCAGGCAGAGAAGTCATCAAGAAAGCATGACACTAGTCCAGGAGGTCAATAGATCACTGCAATCTTAGAGAAATAGGAGAAAACAGACAAATACAGTGAGTCTCCAAAGAAGAGAAGGATAGACAGGGAGGGTTATGGAGGACTTGAAAGGTGCTCAGTGGGGATAGAAGCAAATCAACTCTACCTCCTTTCCGACCACTGGGTTTCGGTGAGTCCAGCGGAGGCCTCCATGGGAGAGGGCCACGGGAGAGGCAGAATCTGACCTTGAAGCCATAGTTTCCATAATTGCAATTAGGTTGGGGAATGGGAGACAAAAGGTCATGGACAGAGGTATGCTTGTTACAGACAGAGCGGGCATTCCAGAGGGCACATGAAAAAAGGTGGAGGGTTTGGAAGCAGGGGGATCGAGATTAATCTGAGTGGATTGCGGCTTATTCTGCATGTCAGATCAATTCCATTTACTGCCTATATAGTAATGCATGTGCAGAACAGCACAAAACTGATTTACTGTATGTCTATGAAATTTCTGAAAACAGAACTTGTCTTCTGATGTGATTATGACCTGTAAATGTGGAGGTAGTAACCAAATGTTCCATAATACGTAATAAGAATTTCTTGCTTGATAATAAAAAGAAAGGCTAACTGCGCGGAGAGAGAATGGATTAGGTGATTTTAATGCAACCTGGGATCCTTAGCAATATCATATTGGTCTTAGGGGAATTAGGAATTCTACATGCAATTCCAATGACAATAAAGTGAAATTTCCTGCCAAAACTATTTTTGTTTTGGATAGCATGGAAACAGATTAGAATCGTCACCAAATTTTGGTTGTTTTCTTAGGGATATTTCCCCTCAATTCCTGGCCTAGATGTATTAAGCTGGTATGGAAAGCAATGGTTAATATTTCAATATAGACATGAGACATAGCAATATAATGAATTTAAGAAGATACTAGCTAGCCATGCATGGCTGAAAAATGATCAGGTGATAATTTGTCTGACGTTTATTGTCTCACATTTATTGATATCTATGTCCCCACCTGGTACATTACCCTCATTGTCTGTCCCAGAGACAGTGGTAACAAGGGCAAAAAATAAATGGGAAATTTATTTGGTGGGGACACAAACTGCAAAATAAGCCTGAAAGATATTTTAACTTTGTGACCATACTATCCTAAACTTAAAAAAAGTCTGGGTTCATAGAAAAGCTGTA